GCATAGATGCTCATAGAAGTTGGAAGCACAAATGTTTAGAAATTGCTTTCTTTTTTTATATAAATTTCAGTTTTTATCGCATAAATGAACATATGAACTATGTTTCAAACTAGAAGTTGGAACCATAAATTTTCGTTTTCATTGCATAGATACTCTTAGAAGTTTGTTTTTTATTAATAAAGAAATCTCATGTGTTTCTTCTAGGTTGTAGCTTCGTATTTTTTATCCTATTTCCTATGTATAGAGCAATGTAAAATACTTTTATGTCTCCAAAAATCAAAGAAAATGATGAACCAAACACATCTAAGCAAATGGGAGGTAGAACCTCAAACGTTTGGGATCGCTTTTCAAAAAAGAATTCTAGATGTGTTTGGAATTATTGTGGAAAACACTATGCTTATCACAGTAAGAGAATTAGTACAAGTTCTTTGTGGGATCACTTATGAAACCAATTGAAGAAGTATCTGAATAGGTTGTGTGATAAAATATAAAAAATTTGTAGCTTTCATACTAGCATGATAATGAGGTGTCATTCAATAAAGAGAATGTCAAAAAGTCGTGGCTAGGTTTGTGGTTAAGGATGAATAACCCTCTAGTGTTGTAGAGTTGAATGATTTAGAGAACTTATTAAATAGTTGCAACCTAAATTTGGTGTCTCTGGTAGAGTTGACTTTTGCTAGAGATGAGAGGATTGAATTGAAGAAAGAGTTAACAAAGGTCGAACAAATATATATTTGAATCAGATGCTATCATTCAGAGTTTTTAAGTAGTTTAATTTTAATACTTAACGATTTTAATATATATATATATATATATATATATATATAGACTTGGGATCATGTGAGACCAATGGTTTTTCGTGAGACCCGTAAGACCAATTCTCAACCCTTGGATTAGATTTACAATCGTCAGATCTAAACATTTATAAATGCCACGAGACTTCTCACTAATTACGAAATTGCCACCTTGCAACTTTGCAACCATTAGATCATTAATTCATAAATTTGATCAATGAACATAAATTGGTCTTACGGGTCTCACGAAAAACCCTTGGTCTCACGTGAACCCAACCCTATATATATATATATATATATATATTTGGATGACTGTAATAACGTGTTATTTATTTCATTTGTCTAACTTTATGTATATACTAACCTGCCAACCAAACCCAACCCATCCCGCCCTAACCAGCAAGGGTTGAGTTGGATTATACTTTTGAATGAGTTAGGTTGGTTGAGATTTTTTTTCCAAACTTCCATAATTGGGTTGGTTTGGAAAAAAATGTCAAGAATCGACCAACTTAATCCATGTACACCCCTAATTTTAAAATCAGAGTATAGGTTTTATGTGAGTATTTGCCTTCAAAAGAAAATCACATCCAAGAGGAAAAAATGGGAGTAGATTTTCAAAAGCTTCAGTTGAATTTTAATTCTAAAAGGTGAGTCTTCAATCTTTAGCTTGGTTATTTTCTAAAAAATTTGGTATTTAGTGCCCTCAATTTTTAAGTAAGTAAAGCTCTTTGAATCGATGTTGTTGAGATTTACGTGTTGTTCTTTGATTTAAGGAAACTCTTTATATTTTAAAATATTGTTCTTGACGGTTTTGATCCAAAAAAATAGAGGTTGGAATGAGTTTTGGTAAAATTTATGGTTTGTTCTTGAACTCACAGGTCGAATCGAAGAAGACAGAGGGTGGCGCACTAGCCACGTGACTTTGGTCCGTTTTTCAGTTTTTACTTCGTTTTCACTTTTGGGATCAAATTTGTTTTATATCAGTGTTTTACTAATGTTTGAAGTTATTTCAAAGTTTAATGACTTGCGTGACTTTAATCATGACTCGTGTCGAGTGGCAAGTTGCGCAAGCAAATGTTTTGTTGTTCTTTGTTTTCTACTTCATGTTGTTTTGGAGACTTTCGGGATATCAATTATGATCCTTGGATTGTGTTAAGAGGTAAGGTTGAGTTATCTATCTAGATGGTAACCTATGCTTACCTTTATTTATATTCGCGTTCGGTTTCGATCTTTCATATTTGTTAAAGTGTGTTGCATTGTATATCGTGATCAAGATAAGTTTTCTTATAACCTTTTTGAACTGAAATGCATATGTTATCAAATGAATTGCTACTTTGAGATTATACTTCATTGGTATGTTTGATTTTAAGTGTTACAGTATTATTACGTTTGGTTGTGTCTGGGTGCCAACTATGTGATATATGATGAATCAGATTGTACCTCAATGCCAACTATATGATGAATTGGGCTGTGCCTGAGTGCTAACTATTTAATTAATAGCAATGTTGTGTCTGGGTGCCAACTATATGACTAACTGAGTTGTGCATGGGTACCAACTATATGACTAATTAGGCTGTGCATGGGTGCCAACTATATGATGAACCGGGTTGCGCCTGAGTGCCAACTATACATTTACTGTTTCAAAAGGTTTTATATGAACTGGTTTGATTGTAATCATCGTACTGTTAAGGATTTACTCACTAGAACTTATGATCTAACTCTCATTTTATTTTAAAAAATATGCATATTAGGGCAGTCATGTTTGGAAGGTAAGAAAAAAGAGAAAAATGAGAGATTATCTGTTTGGATGCTTATATGTGAAACCGATCAAAGATTACTTTGAAATATGAATTTTGATCTTTATGAATTATGGATTGTTTTGTATGTGAATGCTATTAGCAAAAAGTTAGTTGTAGTTTTCAGAATGTTGTACAGTTTTATATAATGAGACAAAATGCGTATTACCAGTTGTTGGGTTATATGTAAATTATGTGTTATTTGTTATGTGGAAATACGGTTTGTTAGGATCCAAGCGCTTACCACTACGCCAAAAGCAATTGCTGCTGGAAAAGGCGCAACTTATTTCCTTATAGCGTAGCAGGCAGCGCCATGTTTCGATTTAAGAAGATGCTGGTCAATGACCCAACATGGTTGTTACATATATCCACCCAAAACCAACCCACCAAGAACTCGAAAGAACAACAGAAATATAAGGTCGAACCTTTCCCATGTTTAATCATTTAACTTTCAATGACACATTTAAGGACAAAACTTAAGGATTATCCCAATACTGAGTTTATGAACCCAAGGCTGTAAAGGTCGAGTTATAGTATTTGAAAAGTGTTTCTAAGACGATTCTTGAGTTTATCCAGTTCCGTTTTCATCTCCACTACCATCTCTTTCCAACATTCACAAAATCAATGAGGTAAACTGTTTTTGCTTTGTGCACATAAATTCTAAAGCGAAGAATAATAGACTACTCAGTGGTATGTTGTGATTACATCCATTAACTTCTGTTTTCTTAACGCTAATGATCATCTCTAAAGGGCATATAACTGAATTATTAGAATTTTTAAACAATGATCATCTAAAAGATGATACATTCTTCTATTTGTGACGAAAATAATTCACTACAATAAAATTTGGTTTATAGGATCGATGTCGAAAACTTCTGAGTTTCGAATTAATAGACCGCTTTATAAGACTTAATTTGTAAGAATAAAAAATAAAGTTTTCTATCTAAAGACATAATAAGTTTATAGGACGTTTTAGGTGCTGTAACAAGTTTTTAGAACATTTTATAAAAAAATGTCGTGTTAGCTATTTACAGATGACTATTTGACAAAGTGTCTTATGAAAATAAGTGTCTTATAATGGGTTTATTATAGGACACTTTTCTCAAAAGTCTCCTATAAAATAATTAATATGACAATTTTGATGATACTTTTGTATCAAAAGTATCATTAGAAACTTGTCATGACACCAAAAATCATCATATAAACTTGTTACAACGTATTTAGATACACTTTATTATTTGATCCTATAAACTAAGTCTTGTAAAACAGTTTATTAGGACGCTTAGCAATTGATGATGTCATATAAACTCAATTTTATTGTAGTGATTGAAAAATTCATGAGCAGGTTCGTTACCAAGGGATCAATAACAACACTAACACAAAAAAAGCATCAGTCACATATGATCATTTTTGTTGCAATGTTTATTTGCCCAAATACTAATTTTCTTATGGTGTAAAATATAAGAAATAGCGAGATGGATATAAGATAAGAATTCTTCTTTTGCCTTACAACTTGTGATACAAATCATCGATCCCGGTAAATTGTGTTTGTAATAAATTAGCCTTGATAAACATAGTAGCCACAATTGTTGTGTATGCCTGAAATCGGACCTTGGATAGATAGAATATTCCACCATACGCCACAACCCTTGTGGTTGAAGGGAATGGAGATTGATTCTGTGAATACCTGTGGATAACCTCTTCTAGGATTCGTTGATTCGACCAATACTGATCCTAGGCTTCAAATCCGAATTCAAACGAACTCCAAATTTGGGAAGAAAAATCAAAATCTGTAAAATTCAAATGTGACCAAATTTCACAGAAAAGATACAAACAAGACCCCAAAACAAAATAGGCCTAAAAAAATATGGGCCAACATTAAAAGCCCAACAAAAATGCCAAAAAGTAGTAAAAAACACGAAAATATCTAAAAACCATGCTTAAACAGTCTTTTCAAGGTTCAAAAGTCTTTCAGACCACAACGTGCTCTTTGCTCCACGATTCGCATCGACTGGTCTTAGGTTTGAAACGAAGACCAGGAGCGAGAGTTATAGCCTTTTAAGCGTGCCCAGCCCGATCATGAGCTTTTAAGAACAATAGGGCACGATCCTCCACGCTCAGGCCACATTATCGACTCCTTTCTCAACTCTCATGAAGAAGCGATCTAACTGGAATTGGAATCCTTCCTTATCTAAGTCTAAGACCAATTCTCAACCTTTGAATTAGATCTACAATCTAAACATTCATAATCACAAAATTGGCACACGACTTCTCAATAATCACAAAATTGCCACCGTGCAACTTTAGATCATTAGCTTATAAAGTTGATCAACGAACAAAAATTGGTCTTACGGGTCTCACGAAAAATCTTTGGTCTCACGTGAAGCCAATCTCATTATTTCACCTAAACAATACATCATTCTTTTATTATATATATTTATTTAATTCACATATCTTTATTATCTCTTTTCAAAAAAATAATTTGTGGAATTGATCAACAGAATCACATAAATGACACAGACGTTGTGTAGAACAATCTCTTCCCACTTTTTCCTATCTTATCTCCATCTTGTTTACTTCCGAAACCAGATAACATTATGAAGACCTGTCTGCTTGAATGCTTCAGTGTGTGTGTGTGTATATATATATATATATATATATATGAAATTAACTGGTAACTGAGAAAGAGAAATTATCATCATCCATGGCTCTTGAAGAGTTTGCATCTCCTTCACTTGCATAAGAAGAATACTCTTCATCTTCTTCCCTCTCCTTCAACTCCTCTATCTTCTCCATAACCTCTTTAAGATCCCACCTCCTCGTAATATCCCATTCACAGCAGCACATCCCAATTTTCAACAACTTCAACATCTCACCTTCGCCGTTCTTTGTCCCTTTCATCTCCTTATCAAACACCTCGCCGGTCCACTCTTCCCTCACCACAGAGTTCACCCATGTCCCCAAATCCGGTTTACCTCCCTTTCCTTGTTCTAAATAGTTCGCGGGAAACTTCCCAGTCAGCATCTCCAGAATCAAGATCCCAAAGCACCAGACATCTGTCTTTTTTGTCGTCCGGCCATGTTGGGTGAATTCCGGCGACTTGTAGGCCACCATCAGTTGTTGTGCGTGTTCTTTGTTGATTAGGGGAACTAGAGCATAGTCTGCTAAAAGGGGATTATAAGCATCGTCAAGAAGTACATTCGATGATTTTAGGTGACCATGAGGTAGTGATAGGCGAGGAAGCTCCTGGTAGAGATAATCAAGCCCTCTTGCTACGCCCTTGATTATCTTTAATCGTGTTGCCCAATCCAATCCTGGTTCATCAGGTTTCCGTTTAACTGAAGACAAAATAATGTCAAGTAATAAATGGTCCATGTTTTCATAGCCTCATAGATCAAGAGATGGTAATTTGAACTGTTTGCATACTGAATAATGGGAAAATATGGAACGAAACAACTTACCATGAAGATGACTAGCCAAGCTACCATTTACAGCAAAATCAGTGATCAAAAGCTTCTCATCTTTCTTGTAGTAAAAAGCCACAAGAGGCAGCAAATTAGGGTGTGACAAGCTTCCTAGCAATCTCATATGTGCATGGAAGTCTTCTTTTCTCACATTACTCATTTCTTTGAACCTCTTGACAACCATGGCTGGCCCGTCCAAAATCATTGCTTTGTACGAAGATCCAAAACTCCCACTTCCTAACACATCAGCAGAGGCTCGTAGAAGGTCTTCCAACTCGAATCTTTCTCTATCCGTCCTCACAAAGTGAAGCTTCCCACCGTTGTCGGTTCTCTTGTATATCTCTTTCTGGTTGTGCATCTGGATCTCGTTTGGATTGGCCTTATAAGTATTGTTTCTGTCGGTCTTCTTGATTTGGTTTCTGTATTCGTTTTTGCCTCTCTTTTGGGCACGAAAGAGGAACATGGCTATAACAATGGCAGCCAACACTGCAACCAGGGACACAATAGCGATGATGATGATCTTTAGAGTGTTTCGTTTCTTTATCTTACATGAGCCAAGAGGTTTTCCACAAACGTTATTTCCTGCAGACCCAATATGCCGGTAACATGTAAATAATTTATATCAAAATTTCAAAATTAATTAACCAAATAATGATGATAATGCATAATGCATACTTAGGGTTACCTGCAAATGAGCTTGGATCCTGGTTTCCGAGCCCCTGAGGTACAGAACCTTCAAGTCTATTGTTTGCAAAGTTCACTTTCAAATCTTTCTGATCAAAATCTGGTATTTCTCCTTCAAACTTGTTATTTTGAAGCTGCAAATCCACAAGAAGCGGCAACTGTGTAAGCGATATCGGAATTTTACCCGTGAAATCATTATTCGCCAGTTCGACTTTCCTCAACCCGCTCATCCCAGAAAACGCATCGCCACTTATATCTCCAGAAAACTTGTTATATGAGAGGAAAACCCCACGCAACGGGCCAATCTTCTGTACGTTAGGCATCGTGCCCTCAAAGTTATTATTCATGAAACTTAACGTTCGAATACTCGTTACCTCAGCCAATGTATCCATGTCTATATTCCCACCTAAACCCATGTTCTCAAGCTGTAACCCGAACACACTTCCATCATCATTACAGATCACCCCTGTCCAGTTTTGTGGTTTACTGTTGCATGGTGCGGAAGTAATATTCCAGTTGCTTAGACCTTCCGTATTGAGGAGTGAGTTTTTGAACTTCAGTAGCTTTTTACCATCCTCTTCGTCGGATAAAACCAGTGAACATGTTAGTAAAACGTGAATCAAGAGGAGTGTAAGCCAATATGGTGGTCTGCTACAAGCCATATTGGCTTAAGATCGATGCAAATGTGGTAAGTTTTGAAGGAACAGCAGATGTTGCAGCTGTTTTAAGTGGTTTTCAGTGGGCGATACAACTTATACTGTGTCGACGTCGAGGAAACAAATGGAGATGAATGGTGGAGGGGCTGAAATACTGATGGTTTTATGGGGAGAAAAAGACAACGGTATAAGGTGGTGAGATTCCCAATGTGTTGGGAATGATTCTGATAAGCTGTTTCACCAAGGCCGGCTAAGATTTTTGCCATTTTTTGATTATTTGATCAAACCATGGATTCGATCAAAACCGAAGTGTATCAGGCTTAGGTTCGATTCTAAAGCTTTCATGCGTCTTGTTTCAACCAACTTAAAGTAAAGCGTGATTTAGTTCATAAATTTATCCAAAACGAGAAAAATTAATTATACCGTTTAGACTCATATTTTCGATGGTTGTTTAAACAATTGCAAACAGAAAACCCAGACATAACGTTCAAGAGTTCATTGTTTGATTTCGTCTATCGATATTTGTGTTGGTTGGCGTCATCGCCGTAAGGGATTTAACTTTTGGCGTATTTGTAACTTAAAGAAACAAGAGAAGTCCTTGGAAGATATCTAAAGCCATACACTTTAAGTTGTTGTTGTTGTGTGTCTTTGCGTTAGACACAATGTCTAAATTGTTTCTAGCTGGCAATTTCCAAGGGCATAGTCGTAATTTCAAATATTTAATGTTTCTTTCAATAATACAAAAAATAATGATAATTTAATATATGTTAAGAGAAATTTTTGTAATAATGTCCAAGGTAGTACTTTGGGTGATGGAAAATAGAGGGTCTCGTTTGGTGAGTTTCACCTTACTTGAAAGAGTGAAATGAAACGTGTATATATACGTAAAGGGTACCATTTCGTTTGTATTAAATTTAAATTATGGGAAACGGTGGGGGCTTCGAAAGAGTGTTGCACGCTACCGCGGGCACAAAATATGCGGTGCTATGATGACACACTTTGCACTTATATATCGACCGCTCAAATTAAGTTGCAAAAATTTATTTTATCAACTCTAACGGTGATAGTTGTTTTGGGAACGGTATTGCAACTCTTCATTGTCAATACTTGAACAAATGAGATTGTTTGGTTGTTAAAACTCGGTCTTGAATTTCCAATTTTGACACATTCATCGCTTAATATTGTTTTTGATGCGTTTTTATAGGTTTAATATGTTCAAGGGTTTACCGTGACTTTCATGGAAAGCTGAGGGATATAGCTTTTCAATTGATAATATAAGATGGATAGCGGAGTATTGAAGTTGTTTCTTGGAGGACACATCAACCCAACCCAACCTGATAACGATGGTTCTTTAAAGGGTTGTCCATGATGGTTGTATACGCACATTTTCATCACAAAATCAATCCATCTCTTACCATATTACTATAAAAATTATGTTGATGTAGAAACACAATTTTTAGTTACTAGAAACCTCGTAAACTTGATAGTTCACCAAAATTAACACTACTGATGCGGTGTTAATAATTATGTTACACATGTTGCTTCATTTTATCTTTACAAGAAATTATTAACTTATTGCACAATTGATGTTCTTTCCGGTGTTGGGGTAAAAGTGATAGTTTTATAAATGTTCAAGTCATATATTTAGTACCCTAAAACAACAATCTTCAAGCAAAGATGACGTCAAAGAATCTTCAACAAACATCATGCAAATATCGTTAAGTTGGAATGTTTTGATAGTGAAAGATTCAGATGGGCGGACCTACCTTCTAAGTTAGGGGTGGGGACCTAGTCAAAAAACACTACTAGAAAATAGAGTATCAGCAATGGTTATTACCGACAGAAAAAATCCTTTGCAAATCAGTGATGGACAAGACAAAAACCAGTTCCCTCCTTAATCTGTCCTTGATCAATGAGGGATTTGCAAAAAATGATTTTTGGCCTGGTCATCGTTGATCCGCTAATCTGTGAGGGATTTGCGAGGAAACTGGTTTTTGGCATGTCCATTGCTGAAAGGTTTAAGAGTTATATAATTTTAAATTATTAAAAATAGCGACGAATTAGCGATGGAAAAACCATCGCTAAAGTTTCTGGTCCTCGCTAATTTGTCGCTAAAAGTCCCCCGCTAACCTGTCGCCAAAAGTCCCTTGCTAATCTGTTGCTGAAAGGTTTCCTTCACTTATCTGTCCCTGAAAGTATCTGTCGCTCATCCATCACTAATCCGGTCGTTGAAACATTTTCGTCGCAAATCTATCACAAATACTATCCGTCGCTGAGCCGTCGCTAAAATCTATTGTTGATCTGTCACTGATAGCATTACATACGAGCTTTTAACCGACAGATGATCAACGACGGATTATGTCTTTTAGCGACGGAATTTTCCGTCGTTGATACTCCTATTTTTTGTAGTGAAAAGGTTTTAAAAGAGAATTTTTGTATTCTCTCTCGGTGCCCCATGCCCCTCCCATCCTAGCCTGAATGGCCAACCCTTTCCCTATATATATTGTGCAACCCTTGCCCCTTCCATCTAGCACCGGGAAACCTTGCACAATCGTTAGGCAATAATAGTAGATTTAGGTATCTCTTGATATTGTATTGACAACAGTGTCACAAACCCAAAAAGCCAAAAACCCTACGCACATTCATGCTTCAAGTTACGTACTTCTTGTTTTTGCTACTAAATATTTTGGTCAAGCTAATCCTCTCATACCTTGTTTGAGTGAGGCAACAACGTCTCAACTCCCAACGAACACAAAAACATACAAAACCCTAGTCAATTCTGTTGATTTTTGCTCTTGCTCTTTGATTTTTATATCTAATTTACTTTTGATTTCTACCGATTCTTAATTTCCGATTTTTTGCTACTAATTTATATGTTTATTAAAGCATTTGGTTGAGATGGATTGGTCAAAACATATGAATAACGATAATAAAATAATTAGTAGTTCCGCTTACTTTATTAATTTCTTCCTTGTTATTATGGCATGATGGTCTGGTCACATTCATTTTCATGTTCGATGAATATGCAAAAGTTGGTCTACGATCGGAAATAGATGACAAAAACAAAAAGTGCCAAACATGCATACATGGTATAACTGCTCGGCAATCTTTTTCCTAAGTTCAAAGATCTTCTAAAGTTTTAGAATTAGTGTATAGCATTTGTGACTTACACGCTACTCCTCTTGGTGGCAAAAGAATATTTTGCAATCTGTTGATAATTATTCACGATATTGCTATTTATATCTTTTAAAAACGAGAAACAAAGATGAATTTTTTAAGGACAAGTCGGGTTCATGAATATTATGATCATATATATATTTTGAAGAGCAAATTACGAATTTCATTCATGTGGTATGCGGATTTTTTACGAATTTCATCGCTATATTTCATTTAATATATATAATGCACTTATGGTATGCACTTTCTGTTAGATATGGTCCGATGTCTGTCTATTTTAGTCCGTTAAAATGAGCCCATGTGCAAGCACAGGAGGGCAAAACCGTCCATTTAAAATCAAGAAATGTTTATTTTACAAATGTTTATCTATGCTTATTTTATTTTTTAACACACCAATTACATTATCACACGTGTATACCATTTAAAATCAAGAAACTCTCTCCTCTCCCACTCCATCCCTTCCGTTTCTTCAATCCAACCACGTCTCGTAAATCCGGTCACCTTCCATTTCTCCGGTGACCGTCATTCTCCGTTGAAACTGTTCTTCGATGACTGGATCCACCTCTTCCCACTGAAACCTCACACCACCCATTAATACCACCCTCCGTCCCTCCCATTTTCATGCACCACTTTAAAAAGCTTAAACAAGATGGAGATTTCTAATTATCAATCAAGTTGGTTGACAAGAATGTATATGGTTATGGTGATTGTAAGTTCATAAAGAGATTACCGTATTTTCAAAAGGATAATTAATATAATAACAATCAATATGCATGGACATGTAGTAATTAAGGGACTTTATAAGTTGTTATATAAGGTGTCTTGTACAAAAACATATTGTTAGAGGGTCATATCGACTAGATTTGGATCCTTTTTTCTCTATATATGATGAAACCTCACTTCTCTCCACAAAGGCGCTCTTAGAGAGCAATTTAATAAGATTTCATCTTCTTAAATGTTACAATAAGTTATTACCGTTTTAGGCACATCACAAGTTTTATCAACGAAGTTGGTTAACATGCTGAGTGCAATAAGAGAGAGAGAGGCAGATTCTTTTGCTAACCTGGGTCCGTTTGGTTTGCATGATTGCTTTTGAGTGATTTCGATTTAATGGAGGGATTTGAATTAGAATGGATTTGAAGTCATTGGTGTGTTTGGTTTGTAAGATTTGGATTTCATTATTTATAAATAATTTATAGAAAAAATTATAAATAATTATAAAGATAAATGAATTACATTTTTATTAATTGATTATTACAAAATAAATGTTTTTATTATTTTCTAAAACCTTATTGATTGTACAAAATCCCGAGCACTCCCTAAGGATTTCAAAATCCTATGTTTGAAGTGTTTCAATTAAATCCTAGGATTTCAAATCCGGATAATCCAACAAACCAATTGGATTATAATAGATTTGAAATGCAAATCCCCCCAAATTCATTTTATTCCTTCAAACGAAATGGCACCTTATTATTATTATTTTTACTAACTAAAATTGACCATTGATTGATTTAATCAAATTACCCATATTGATGCGGATGAAAAAATGCAAATAAATGAACGAAAATAGTATAAAAAAATCAATGTACTTTTAGTGTTTGGAATGATTACGTTATTGGACAATTTTTTTGGAACAAATAAGTCCTTAGACATTACAAAACCTGTTAAATAACTCATTGAACTTTCTAAAACATGTTAGATACATTCTTATGACCTATACAACTGGTTAATGTGATAAACTAATTGAAAAAGTCTTAAAAAAGCCAATGAACTTTCATATTTCGAACGATTAAGTCACTAAACTTTTTTGAACCAAAAAAGTACTTACATCTATAAAATAAAACAAATATACCAAAAAAGTACTCACATTTAAAAAAGATTACTGGAGAAAATTTATTTTAATTAAAAATAAAATATATTCAGTCAGC